GACCAGTCTCCTCTGAGTGGTCCTGTGCTGATTGGGGGGTGGATTGGCTGTCCTTGCTGTGCCCCACTGTTCTCCCAGTGGGCCCGTCTCCCGCACTGCCCATGCTCCAAACACTTCTCATGGGATGGGCCCCACACCGGTCCCTTGTGATGACTCACCGGCCTCTGAATGGCTCCCCTTTTTCAGCTGTTGTGGCTCCTCACTCCTGTGTGGGTCCACGGGAGCCCTATTAGTGGTCTTGTTGTCCTGGGGGCCACCAGAGTCCTCTTTTCCCCTTCCACCTCCAAGCAACTCCATCTAAAGGGCACAGCCGTGGCTTCTGCTGGCTCCTGCTCCATGTGCTCCAGCATTAAAGTGGCTGCAGCCCGAAACGCTGAGAGCAGTTTTTTCTTTCTCCATGGCTTCTCCCACCTTCATGAACTCCATAGGTCTCTCCTCCTCTTCCCCTGAGCTCCAGCAGCCCCAGCTTGGCTGATGTTACATTTTTATAGTTGTAAATTCATTGATTTGTGGGAGAGAGTGACACTGGAGAACATGTATTCTGCCATCTTGACCGGAAACCCACCAAAAATATATTTTAGGCAGATTTTCATCAGTGATAAGTAACCTTCAGCTATCTGGAAAATTCACATAGGTGGTGATAGAGATCATTTTTGAGTAATTCTCACTAAATGAGGTGTGCTGGTGGCACCCTGCTTGCCAGTATCAGTTACAGGCATGCAATACAAAAGGAAAATATGAATTTCACTTAGCACATGCCTACTCTTGTTAATCTTATTATTTAATATACTAGAGCTAATAATTATTACAAATATACAGATAAATTTACCAGGAGCATTTCCTTGCTTCACATGAAAGGTAAGCACTCACTCAGTGTATTCTGAGAAATTCAGCCAACTTTGCAAAGCTTGGGGATGCATAGGGTCAACTTATCGGGGTAGAGGCTGGACAAGAGAAAGGAAGAATAGGCAGAAAAGCAAGTTTTATGTACTATTTCCCTAACCACACAAGTGGAATCTTGAGCTGAGGTGGCTGGGAGTTATTGGAGCCAGTGAAGGCAGACCTATAGGGGTGCCTAATTGGAGTCGCTGTCCATGGTAGCTCTTATATTTTCAATGGATCAGCTTTGAAGTGCGGCCCTTCTATCCCATCTCCAGAAAGGTGTAAGATCTATGGCTCTCATATTCCACTCAGTGCAATCTTAATCCTTTGGAGATCATTGCTCTGGACAGTTCCTTTAAAAAGATGCCTATAGGGGCCGGCCCATGGCTCACTCAGGAGAGTGTGGTGCTGATAACACCAAGGCCACGGGTTCGGATCTCACATAGGGATGGCCAGTTCGCTCACTGGCTGAGCGTGGTGCTGACAACACCAAGTCAAGGGTTAAGATCCCCTTACCGGTCATCTTTTAAAAAATAAAAAATAAAAAAATAAATAAAAAGATGCCTATAGAACTAACTGAAACTGGTTCCAGGAATGATGTTACTTCAATTGGTCTGTCTCCCAATTGTAGAAGAAAAAGAATTTCTGTTGAGATACCATAGCTGACATATGATATTTCAATTAATTTTGACATAACAAATGCTATGCTCCACATGTGTTAACATTGCATTATGAATCTGAACAGGTATACTCCTAGATCTCAACATATGGAAAGCACCTCATGTGGCTAAATATTTTGATGACCAAGCTTTCTGGGAGGTAAGATTTTTGACCTATTAACATGATAGATTTTGAGCGCATGAACTTAAAAAGATATCTGGGTAGATACGTTAACTTGGTGTTTATGAGAATAAAACAAAAACAAAAATGAAGAGCATTGGGAGAGAAGCAAATCCATGATGCACATGCACATGTCTGTGCGCGCATGCATTTGTGTGTTCATGCATGTGTTTGCATGTATCTGTGCATGCCTGTGCACATGCATGCATGAATGTGTGTGCATGCCTGTATGTTGTCGGGACTGGGGAAGTTAAAGTTAACCATTTTCCTGATGCCTCAAGGTCGTTGAGGGTCAGGGATGAGAGAACAGCCACTGGCCACACTCCCCCTCCCCATCTGCAGTCCTCAAAGTGGGCAAATAGTTTGACATGAAGGTGATAGAACCCTGCAATTCAAGAGCCAGAAGAAACCTCAGGGGCCATCAAGTCCAACCCCCTATTAGACAGATGCCCAGAGTGGAGACATGACTTATTCAAGATCTCACAGTGAGTGAGTGGCCAAGCTGAATCTAGAACACAACTCTTGACAATTATAATTAGTAGACACAAGAAAACTTGTGGTATTGGAGTCCGGGGTCCTTTAGCAAGAGACACAGAGCTCACACAACTCAGCTGCCACTGAAGGTCTCTGTGTTAGTTTGTAGTGTTTGTCATCATGACTGGGCTAGAAAGGTCAGGGCTCATTCCGTCACCACACTGCCCTCCTCCCTTTGACTTACTCTCATAGTCCACAAAACACTTTGAGGTGTGTCACCTTTGGTCATTCTCCAGGCAGTGCTGTGTGGAGGCTGGATAAGCAGAGATCAATATTGCCAATGGAAGTCGGGGCTGACAGAGGTCAGGCAAATGTCCAGGATCATACCACTGTGAGTGGTGCAGACAAGGCCAGGAACCAGGCCTTCCGAGTCCCAGGCCAATCCTTTCTCTATCCAGCTCCAAGACACTGATCACTAAAAGAATGGAAAACCAGCCTTATTACAGGCCTGGGCACACGTGCCTGGAGGGGCCAAGCAGAAAGAATGTAGACAGAGACCTGCCTCCTCCTCTTCTCCTTTTCCTTTCTCTCCTTTCCTTTTTCTTCTTCCTCCTCAAATAGCTTTATTGAAGTATAATTGGCATACAATGATTGCACGTTTAAGGTATGAAATTTGATACACTTTAACCCATTTCACCCATGAGACCATCACCACAATTAACACAAGGAACACATCCATCACCCCCAAACATTTCCCCGTGCCCCTTTGAAATTGCTCCCACCCTACCTACCCGGTACCATCTGCAGGCAGCCACTGAACTACTTTCTGTCTCTATAGACAAGTTTGAATTTTCTATAATTTTATACACATGGAATCACACAGCACATATTCCCTTTTGTCTGGCTTCTTTTACTCAGCATAGTTATTCTGAGAGTCATTCATGCTGTTGTGTGTTACCTGCCTCATCTTGTACTAGCTTCTCTCTGCAGCCATGGGCTCTTGGCTTCTCCCAACAGTCAGTCTGTCCCAGTCCCCTGCAACTGGTCTTGTCCTTTTAGCAGAGGCAGAGTAATCTAGGAAAAGGACTCAGAAAACTGGTTTAATCCATTCATTCATTCCACAAATACTTATTGAGCAACTACTGTATACCAAGCACTATGCTAATCAACTATGAATACCACAAACAGGACAAATATCCAGCTCAACTATTTGAGTTTCAATAAACATTTGCTGAATAAATGAAGGAAATCTGATGAACCCTGTCTAACAGTAGCCACTGCAGCAGTAGGTAAGGTAGAACGAGTGTGCACCAGAGTAAGACCTAATTCCAGCCACCATTCTGCAATACAGCATGTAGGCAAGCTCCTTGACCTCTCTCACTGGTAAAATAAGAATAGTAATCTCTGTTCTGCCTCACTGGGTTATTTTGAAGACCAAGTGAGATAATAATGTCTGTAACAACATTCTGTAAAATGCAAAACACCATGTGAATGTGAAAGTTTATTAGGGGTTTAGCCAACCACAAAGGAACGTGTAAGCAAAATAGCTATCATAATGCAAGCCTAAGGTTTCTGATTTTGTGCTAGATATTTTTATATGATTTTATCCTCACAACAATCTTGCAAGTATCTCAGTCTTAAAGATGAGGAAATATGGAGGCCTGTAGAGATGAAGTAACTTGTCCAAACTGACAGAGCTAGTAAATGGAACAGAAATAATTTGAATTGATGTCTGTTTGGCTCCAAAGACACACCATGTATGTCTGTGTTGTGGGCAACTACTGGAGAACAGTTATTCCACCCCCACCCCCATCAATCTTCTCATTTATTTTCTTGCAGCTGAGTAGAACTATTTATTAAGCAGTATACTGCTTTCAGCTTGCGTTTGAAAGCCAAATACCCATTGAAGAGGCAGGGATTCAAACTTTCAAAGCTGATAAATCTAGAGGGTTTTTTTTTCTTCTTTTTTTGTAAGCCATCCAACAAGATATTTTAAACATTATTGAATAAATACCCTTATTGCATTTTATAGGACCAGACTGCCCGGGCTGGAGAGACAGTAAAGCTAGCTCAGGCACTTCTTCACTGGTTGCCACTATGCCTGGCACCTCCTGGGATGCGGCATTCCCCATTCCCCAGGGCACCCATCTTATCCTTGGATAGCTTATTAAAATGACTCATTGATTCGCTAATTCACTCCACTAAATGTATTATCTAATCTGTAACAGACATTGTGTGACGTGCTGGAGAGACTAATCTAAATAAAACATATTTTTAGGTCTTAAGGAGCCAGATATACTAATCTTCTATCTCCCTGCAGTTTACAGTGACCCTCACCCAGATACTGATTTACAAAAATTCAGTTTATAACACAACTTTTCATGTGTCCGTGCTTTCACTAAAAGAATAAACTGCAACCATGGAATTTATTTCATGCTTTGCAAAGCACAAGGACTCACTGAAATCCCCTTTTTCCATTAATTCCACAATTAACCTTTCTGAGGTCAAAGCAAGGAAGCTTTTTTAAGTCTACTGTGGGCAAGCCCCGGGGGTTCTGAGAATTGCATGGAAGCCAGAAACTAGAGGTTTAATGACTTAGGAGGACTGGATCTTTATATGTGCACAGCTCCATCTGTTGAGTACTAAATAAGGAATCCTGGCAGTAGCTGCTAGAAGAGTTAGAGGAGGAAGAGGTCATGGGGTTGGGAAGGTCAGGGAAAATGGAACTTGGAGTTGTGTTGGATTTGGCTAAGCAGCAGAAAGTGAATGGCATTCCAGACAAGGGGAATACTGTGAGCAAGAACAGAAGCAGCAGAAAGCGACCGGGCTCAGCCGAGAATTTGTGAAAAGGCTGAAAGGTGGCGAGAGCCACTTGAATTTCACCCGGTGGGTAATGGGAAGCTCCCAAAGGTTTGAGTGGGGAAACAAAGCAACAAAACGAAAGTTGTAAAGTAGAGTGATAGGATTAAACATGTAGGATGGATTCTGAAATGACTGCAATAAGCTGAGGATCATCCATTGGCTTCTGAACAAGTATTTGCAGTTTATTTTTAAAATAATTTCATTGCCAAGGAATATAAACACCACTACTGTTTTGGTACAAAAACACAACAAAATGTGTCAAGAGTTCCTCTTGCTGTTTTATGTGAAGTTTTAAAAACCTAGCCTTGTCACACTATCACTCCTGCTTCTGATTTAATATAAATGTCCTAGACACACAGTAAGGATCCAATAAATGCTTGTTGAACCAAAATGAGGACAGTGAGCTTTTAAAGTAAAGTAGGAAAACAGATTAGGAGCCTGCCAATGGATCCCTCCAGACTCAGTGAGGCCCAGTGAAAGAGAATTGTTCTGGGAGGGAGATCTGTATTCTAGTCCTAGCTCACCCATGGCAGGCTGGTTCCCTTGGGAAGGTCACTTGACTACTCTGGGACCCAATTTCTTCATCTATAAAATGAGATTAAATCCCATGCTCTAAGAGTATGTGATCTGGAGTCAGACGATCTGGGTTCTACCACTTCTAGCTCTGTGATCTTGTAGAGCTTCAGTCTCCCCATCTCTGAAATGGAGATGATAATAGTAACTCTCACTGGGTTGTTGCATTTAAAGGAGATAACATGTGAAATGTTAGCACATTGGCTGATCCACAGAAAACACCCTATGGGTATTAGCTACCGTGATTTTCATTTCTAGAATTGTGATCCAAGGTTACTCAATGTGTGGTGATGTTGTATGGCAGGCTGTAATATGGCACAACCAAAGAACTCAGGATTATTTTCAGCTTGCAGAAAAGAAGACCCAAAGGAGACCTAAGAACTCTCTTTGAACACTTGAAAGACTGGCATATAGAAGAGGAAAAATATTTTTTTCTGTGCTTCTTCAAAGAATTTAACTAGGCCCAGTGGGAGATACAGTATACATTTCTAACAATTTGAACTGTCACAAAATGGAATGAGTCTACTTCATATGGTGTGAGTTCCCTGTCACTGGAGGAATTCAAACAAAAGCCAGATGAGTATCAATGATTCATGTAAAGAGCTACATGAAATAAGATCTATCTAAGATCTCTTCCAATTCAGATTTTATACAGAAACCGCTAAAGTCTTCATGATGAGACATTTAGGTAAACATAAGTTTCAAGAGGTCAAACCAGAATCAGTATACATACAAATTTTAAGAGTATAAGGGTTCATCTGCAATAAAAATGTTTGCTTTGCTTTTACAGTTTCCTCATTTGGCTGTTGGATTTTAAGCAAAAGCAGCCAAAAGAAACAAGGCCTGCTTGAAAACAAGACAACTTTCTTTTGCTGTGGCCCACCTTTACTTGTATGCGACACATACTCACTACAGCAGTGTCCTTATATACAATGAAACAAGGTCAAACAGAGTTGATATTAAGAAATAAAGAGCTAAAAACTTGTTTAAGAGGTAATGTAATAGTAGTTTTAAACAAATGTTTCATTAAAAATGATGCTATCAATATTTTCCTGGTTGCAGACATATAATTAAGGTTTTGGTTCAATTTTGTTGACAATTCTTAGATTCTTTCTCACGTTTAATCAGGTGTGCTGCCCAGTTAACTCTTGTCTATATCAGAGCAGATAATACAAAATAAAATTAAGAATGCACTTTTATTTAGTCCTTGAAGACATTATTCCAGCAGTTTTACAAGGTAGTTGGCATTCCTTGAGCATATTTTGAATTGCACTGTGGGGAAAGTGATTGTGGGCAGTTGTGGGGTGGGGGATGCCTCAGGCTTAAGAAACTAGTTCTCTGACCTTGAGGAAATCATTTCAATTATCCTGGTCTTCTGGGTTCCTTCATATGTAAAAAGAGAGGGTGGTCTTCAACCTCTAAGATTGCCTCTGTAGTGGATTGAATTATGCCCCCCAAACCTAATTGAAGCTTGAATTGTGTCCCCCAAGTTTTATGTATTAGAAACTTAGACCCCACTGTGACTGTTAAGAGGGGGGGAAATCCTTTTATGGTAATTGAAAGGTGGAGCCTAAAAAAGGTGATTGGATTGTAGGACCGGTGCAGTAGTGAATGGATTAAAAATGGTGGTCAAGGGCATGGTTCTGAGGGCTTTAAAAGAAGAGGAGAGTCTGTCTTTCTCTCTCTGTTTCCACCATCTTGCAATGTGAGACCCCTCGGTCACTGCTGCCACCACTGGATAGAGTTTGGACTTAGCAGCCTCAGAAACTGTAAGCAATAAATGTCATTTTTCTTTAGAAAATACCCAGTTCCATGTATTTTGTTGTAAGCAACACAAATGGACTACTACACCCTCCAATTTTCACATTCTATGTAAAAAAATGAAATAAATCACAAGTGACTTCATGTGGGATGACAGCAATACAGTTAGTGGTTTGAGTAGTGTCTTGATGACCAGGCGATATTCAAAACATACAGACTGGCACATAATGATGGCTGACACAGAAAAGAATACCATAAATTGCAATTGCCTAGGATATATTTTGTATTTAACGAAGAGCTAATGGTAGTTAGCTGTAGTTCTCAGGAGTATGTATCCCATTTTGATGAGGAGGGTAGTCTGGGGGAACAAAAGAGTTCCAAAGAGTAACAGACTATGAGAGTTCCTAGTAGCTAATGTTTGTAATAGAAACTGAACCATTGTGAGCTTAGCAGTTCTTACACAGATAAAATCAAACAGGGAATCCAATTTATTATCAGAATAACAAAGAAATTGTCACATGAGTAAGAGACTAGAGTGTCAAGTCCCTATCCTTGTCCGCTTTCCTTCAATGTGGATGTGGAATGACTGTCAGTGTCCCAGCAGGACCGTATGTCACGGCTGAGTTCCCTCCCCTGACCCCTGCCCCCAGTCAGTGGCATGATGCAAGAGCTCCACAGAATGAGGAGCCTGGTGGTTGGATCGTGGGGCTTCTCGTTTCTCACATGTTCACTCACCCCATGGGAGAACCTTAAATGCTACTTATGCTGAAATGTTTACAGAATTTTTGGTAAAACCATATAAACTGAACACAAAGCACAGTGTGAAAGAATGTTGACCGCTGAAAAGTTTCTAAAAACAAGAAAATGTTTATATTTCATGTAACATTTGACATAGTAGAGGCCACAATAACCACATTAAATCTTCAGAGCACTTTCGTTGCAGTTTTGGACCTCAGATATGACAAATACTCATATTGGTGAATCCATAATTTCTTTTGTAATTTATTTTTATTTTTACAAATTATACGATGATAAAACTGGACAAAAATTACTCATGTGACATAGTTTCTTTTAACATTTTATAAGTTAATCAAGCATATACCACAAGAGATTTTTTTGGTGGTTGTTTAAATAGGGAGTTCTCATGATTTTAGTATTACATAACTTTAAGCTGAGGCTACACTGAGAAATAAGTTTAGAAAACAGCATTACAAAATATTGGGAGTGAGCAGTAAAAAAACCAAAAAGACAAAAAAACCCATGCAGGGTTGCTGTGCTGTAGGAAAGCAGATGTTTTCACTGCCATAAGTCTTCAGTACGGCCAAACTTAAAAACCAGTCCTCTGTGAATAAAACAAGAAACGTTACATGACTACCTGAATTTGGGAAAGGAATACGTAAGATTTTCAGAATAGTGGGAAATAAGCAACAAAGAGTAATTGATAAGTCGTATACAAAAATTTGATAAGAAATCTATCAAATAGGAAACTGATCATTCTAAGGTAGTGAATTCTTCCATTATGCTCAACTGTGCTGTTTACTCTCATCTTGCTTACAACCTTAACTTGTGAGTGTTGAAGACATATGTGACTTTTAAAAAGTTAACCAACGTTTAGCATGTAACCATTATATGCCTGATTTTATCAAATTCATTCAACAAAACCTTTTTTTTTTTTCCTTTTTGTCTTTTTCCGTGTCCGGCAACGGATCACAACCCTCAGTGTTGCCCCCGTACCGGACCGGGGACCGGCTACGGGATCGCAACCCTCGGCGTTGCTCCCGCACCTCGCTCAGCCAGTGAGCGGGAACCGGTCTGTATGTGGGATCCGAACCCTCGGCGGGAGCGCAGCCACGCTTCCCAAGCGGCGCACTAGCGCAGTGCGCCACCGGGCCGGCCCCAACAAAACCTTTTTTGAGTGTCCCGGTGTGTTAGGTGCTAGGGATAAAAAGATAAATAAAGTATATACTCCTTGCCCTCAAACTGCTCCCATTCTTGCTTTCACAATGTGGTATTGGGCCAGGGAAGGAGGGGGAGTGGGGGTAGGGGAGGGGTTTGAAAAGGCAAATATACCAAATGTCAAGGAAGCACAGAAACACAGAATTGATTTTGCCTGAATGAGTTAGGAAAGGATTAACATAGGTGGAAGTGTTTGAGATAGGCTTTGATGGGTAAACAGGAGTTTGAATGGGAGACTGGCAGAATAAGAGCTAGTGGGATGGGCCGGCCCGGTGGTGCACTGCTACAGTGCGCCGCTTGGGAGCGCCATGGCGCTCCC